AGCGAAGCCATCCGCACTGACCCTGCTGCGGGAGCCTGCGGTGCCGGCCTTGTAGGGTAGGAATGGAAGTTAGCGTTGCCCAGTCCAGACGTGCTTACTGGTGAGAGCCGCATCTCAGAGTATGCACGCTGCAGGGAAAGGTGGGGTCTTCAGTGGCACGGGAAATGCAAGAGAACAAGGGTGCAGGGGGCTGGGGGGAGTCTTCACCTCCCTTCCAGATAACCCGTGAAGGATTCACATAAGTAAGAGTTCACACGCTGCTGGATTAATATATTGTAGATTATAAATGAATGTGGGGGGCGGGGGGTGGACCGTAATATGGCATCCTGGGGGAAGCATGTTCCAAAAGTATAGAAGATTAGGGCAAAGAGATAAAATGTGGAGAAAAGATGGTGGAGATGAAAATTAAAAACTGGAAAACCAACCTAAAACTTCAGTGTTTCCTTAAAAGTAGCCACAGCAGTTGGCATGGATCTACTGGAATCCTTTCCGACACTGGAAGAACCCTTCTAAGAGATGAAAAAGAAGTAAGCATGCAGACTGAATGTGCCCGCCCCACGTCAGGCACAGTGAATAAATGAACTCCCAGCAAGGCACATTCCGGTGACATTTCTGAATCACAGGAATGAATGTTAATATCCTACTAGCACCAAGGCTGGAGGGGAAGAAAAGCTTACGATACGTTTTTTGCTATCGATCAAGCTTATTCCAGAGGTTTCTTGGAAACCCTGGAAGAGCATGGACGCACAGTCACAGCCGCCATGTTTGAGAGAAAGGACCCAGGAGTGGTAAATCCAGCCAGATCCTGGTTCCAACAGAAAAGCGAACGCTCCGAGCCTCAGGTCAGGTTCTCTGGGAAGCAGACCCATGTGCCGGGCATGAGCGACGGTCACTGGGCTGTGTGCTCCAGAAACAGGATGAGCCAGAGGGTCGGGCTGAGCTGCAGTGCATTGGGACAGAGACCTCAGTCAATCCCACAGGAGCTCTGGAGCTGGCGTGGCCCTTAAGAGTGACCCAGACTATACTTCAATAAATATAAATAATTTAAAAATAAATAAAAAGAGTGACCAAGAACTGAAGCGAGGAGGGCCTTCTCCCCTGCAGTGAGGAGTCGCTCGATGTGGGCTGTCCCAGAGCAGAGCTGTGACCTTGACCCAGGAGCTCCCATTCCAACGAAGGCAAATGCGAGGGGGACTCAGCTGTGACCGTCAGCAGCTGGGGGACGAGCACCGGAGTCCTGAAGGCTGGCATCTTCAACATCATCTTATCAAAAAGAACCTCCTGAAGGTGTTCTCCAGCCAACTAGCAGAGAAGGGCGACATAAAGACGGGAGACTTTTCCTAATTCAGTTGTCCCCCAAGCCCTGTTTGGTTATGTATTTCAAAGCAGACATGGGGCAGAGCTGGGTCCGTGGGTTTCCTATCTCAGTCTTGTCCTTGCTCCTGGAAGTGCCTTCCACAGCCCGGTGGAATCGCCTACGACAATTTATGGCCACTTAGAAGAGCAATTGCTACGTTTCTCTCCCATTTTTCTGAACGAGGGCCCATCTGTCTGTGGGGTGAGAACCCCATGCTGGGAGGGCGAGCACACCAAAAGGCTTTCATTTGTCTCGCAGAAAAGCGAGGTGAGAGACGGCGAAATGACGGTCATTGTACTGAAGAGGAATTCAGTGGTGGTTCTCTGCCTCTTTAAAACTCTTGCTGGGAACAGCGCCCCTTCCGCAAGCGGGATCACAGCAGCCGGGGCTGGTGTGGAGGGGCTGTGACGGGGCAGGGGGAACCAGGGTCTCCCCTGCATTTCATGCTCTTCACAAAGAGCACGTTGAGAAAACTACCGTCACAACGACTGATCCACATCAGCCGTCACGGTGACTCCATTTCTCTGCGTTCTTCACAAAGAAAGACAAGTGAACTTGGTGGCAAAGACGATCTGCCACCGAGCCTTTTCCATAGAAACCTCCACCCACGGCTCCTGGCTGTTTCTCCGTCAACGGTTGAAAAGTCAGTGCGTGCGACTGACTTCACCTGTGCATAAAAGTAAGTGGACAGGAAACAAGACTGGCTGCAAAGGGTCTCCTGGAGGTGACAGTCTGGGAGAGTCCAACTTTTCTATTTACTTTTTTTTTCTGTCCATCTCTGAATCTTCTTCAATGATACGTATGGCTTTTGTAACTAAACAAAACAGACGCCATTACAGATCAACGTCTGGGGCGGCACGTGAACCCTGAGAACACAAATCAACGTGAAATAAACCAAAGCGCTAGCTAGTATTGTTTCTGGGGAAAGGGAGTGGGAGAGGCAGCGGTGTTTTTTGCTTTGTTCCCTGTTTCAGATATTTGCTCACAGTTTTTTGGATTTTATAATAAACTGTTTCTATTTTATTATCTCCCTAAAGAGCTCAGAAGAGGTTTTGTTTGTTTTGTTTCTAAATTAGGCCTGTAGCTGGAGGGTGGGGTGGGGGAGGGTGTGGCTCAGCGGTGCGGCAGGTGCCTCGCATGCACGAGGTCCTGGGTTCAATGCCTCCCCTTAAAAAATAAATAAATTTACCTCCAATTACCTGCCCGCCCCCCCTAAAAAAAAGCCCAAAAATTTTTTTTAATAAAATAAATTAGGCCTGCCCCTCTCAGCCCTCTACCCAGCCTGTTCAGCCCTTTGGAAAGTTCCTCTTCCGCAGCCTAAACCCTGCCGGCTGCCCTGTGAGGCAGGCCCAACTGGTGGGCATTCCTGTAATGTGGATGCTGCTCAAACACTGTGGGCCTGGGGGTGGGGGCACATCACAAAATTCCCAATTCACTTGTAGTGGGAGAGACGGAGACAGTCAAGGCCTTTCAGAGTTAAAACGTATACGTGGTCAGATTACACCTTCCTTCTGCGTGCGACCTGGACCCTCCCGGCCTGTCACCCCCCGGCCCCGCTGCAGCTGACCGTCACTCCCTGCTGTCTCTCTGACTCGCCCACAGGAGCAGCAGCTCCCTGCGGGTAGGACTCTGTCGCCTTGAGTGATGCAGCCCAAGTGTCTAACAACACGAGTCCGGCACACGTAGGTGTTCAGTCCCTGCTTTCCAATGGATGAGCCTAAATTTATGGGATTAAAAAGACTGACAAGACGTGAGGCGACAAAAGGGGACAAGATTCCCCACGTGGCATAATTGTAATTGAAAACACAGACGTGTGAGAGGGAACAAGAGTCTGGAAGAAATGCAGCAACTGTCGACGTGGATGATGGTTTGGGGGCTGTAGGTGAGTTTACTTTGTTCTTCCGTTTCCTAGAGACTGTCTGAATCTTTCTTGGGGGTGCAAGTGTCCCCTGGATGATCACGTAGAAATGTTTCATTTTAAAAAGAAGGAAAAGAGGTGGGGTCTTGAACCAGCCCCCAGCCGCCCTTGGGCTGGTGTGGCTCAGCTGGTGCCAAGTGGGTATCTTGGTGACGGAGGCCAGTGGACCATCACTGCTTCCTGGAAGCATCGTGCCACCCACACGAGTGGGAATCTCCAGGGGTGTCCTCTGTTTATGGGCCTGGAGACCCCGTGTCATTACTGCCCCTTGAAGTAAAATTTTTCTCCCACCGGCCACTCCATTCTCCCCAAAAAGCCAAATCCTGTTATAAGATGCTGCGATGTGTTTATACCACCGTAGGTGGAGTCTCGGCTCCAATGTTAAGCTTGAACATTAAGGTGCGATGTAACCAAGGTTGACTGCAGGATTACTGGTGCAAGAGAGGCAGGAACAGGAGTGCCCGCTGCCCTTACTGAGAGCTGTGTCTATGCCCTGATGTCCCCATAAAAGAAGGGACCACTTTCCAGAGCAAGGGTTGGCAGGCAGTGGAATCCCCGAGGCTCCCAGGAGGAAACAAGCGGCCGCGGTGAGTGGCGGTGATGAGTGGACCAGCGGCCAGGGGTCCTGGCGTCTCCGGATGTGCCGAAACCTCCAAAGGACAGCTCCCATCCCTCCTCTGGAGTGTGGCCCCCCGACGGCTTCGTTCTGACTGAGCTGGACGCTAGTCAGACTGGTCTGCAAGGGGCCGGGGCCAGGTCCGGGGGAAGGGACGGCACGACTAATGTTCAGCAGCAGGTGGGTGGAGGTGTGTGAAAGGCAGTGATACATGACGCCTGGCCTTGGCTTCCAGCTACAGCCCACAGCCTCCCCGCAGAGCTCGGGAGGCTTCTACCAATCGACGGTGTTAGGTGACCTCTGGACCACCCTGGGTTTGTCGTTAATTCATACACAGAGTGTCCAACCCCTCCCCTCCGGCGCCCTCACATCTCCTGTCACCCTTATCTGACTGTGTCTATTACCGCCTGAAATACACATTCACCGGCTCACTGTCCTCCTCTCCCCAGGACGTAACTCCAGGAGGTGGGGTCTCATCTCTCGTCCTCGGCTGAAGCTCTCGTCCGAGAACAATCCCGGCAGCCATGGGGGCTCCATAATTATTGGTAGGAAGTAAGAGGCGAGAATGAAAGACAGGACATGCATCTTTATAAAGAATGTTTCCATTTATTATTTTAAATCTGAACCTGCGTAAAATGATGGTTAGTTACATTTAGCTCAAAGCAACCCTGTGACGTGAACTGGAGACAAGCCCAGATCTGGACCTTTGCTCCTCAGCCTCAGGTCCAGAGGCCACAGCAATCAGTCTTGGAACTTCATTTGCATCCACTGAGGCCGTGACAGTGATGCAGAGGGTTTGCTCAAGGTGATGGGGGTGGTGATCACTTACAAGGGGACTGCGCTTCTCACAGCCCGTGGCCACCCAAACGTGGGGAGGGTACCGGAGGGAGCAGAGGGCAGGTTCATGGTGCCTGGGGACTTGGGTGGAGACCCAGTTCTTTCGCTGATGGAGGCAAAATGGGGCACCAGTCCCCCAAAGGACACAGCTCCAAAGAGGACTTAAAAGAAACTCAAGCTTGAAGTTCCTGCGCCGTGGCATCATTGCTCTTCCCTCCTGCACCCAGTCCCTGCCTCGCTCTCTCTAACCTCTCTTCACACACACGCCCTTCTCAAGAGCCCCTGGGGCCAGATCCGATGGAAGGATGCCCTGTGCGGGTCTCTGCTGCCGCCGCCCGG